GTTCAGACGTGTGCTCTTCCGATCTTAGGCAAATTTTACTGTGCACTACAATAAGTATTTTACAGTAAAATTTATTGCAGTGTACAGTAAAATTTGTCTAAATACTATATTGTCCCACAATTAACATCATTTTCAGGGTAAATTAAAAAAAAATTGTCTCCATGTATCAGATTCATTATACCTATTTACTGACGTGCGAGGAATAATTTCGTATTTTTGCAAATGTTAACCGATAAATCTTCCAACAAATTCTGCACTGTCCCTCGTATCGGTAAGAGCCGATTAATACAGCTCGATATCGATTTTACGCCAAGATTAATTACTACGATAATGCGAAAAGAATTAAAGTTACTTGCCACGCCAATATCTCCGTCGTGCCCACGACTGTTTGTCCTTCGTCGGAGGTAAATAAATCACGGCTTGGTGCACGCTTGCATTATCGCGCGTAATTCGGATAAATTGTCGCAATGCAATCCACGTCGCGGTATCGCACGCTATAACTCAATTCGCCGCGTGACGTTTCAAATAACACTGTCAATTATGTGAGTATATAAGATACACTTGACGGCGTCACTTGAAAACGTCGCGATGCATCAAGTTAATATACGTAAAACGTCGGAAACACTCGCAAATTTACATTCCCTGTCGCGCGTAGTCTATTCTCACTTCGCGAATCCAATCCGTCGCGCGCGATGCGATCGCGGTGAAATCATTTCTTTTACGATATAAATACCGGTATCGGCGATAAATCGATGACTCGGCCGATATCGCGGAGTTATCGCGCGGCGGCGAAATTTTTCTGCGCGATTACACCTCACCATATTTTCGGAGGCGCCAAATTTGATATTCTCGTGACGCAATCGCATACTTATACGAACTCATTGAACGAACTGCAATCCTACTTCTCCGTGCAAGTTTTATCCGCATTTGTTTACGATACGTTCATAGATTATCGCTCTCTATGTGACGCACCTGCAATCTCCATGGAAACTTCAAATGGCGCGCATTGAAATATAAATAAGGAGCACTATCAATGAAAAGTCCGGGAGGGGAGGGAAGGGAACGACGCGTCGAGCGGAAATGTACGCAAATTATTGGCGAAGTGCAGTAGAATCGCGTTACGTTAAATTCTGCCCACTCGTTACATCGAATCTGGCGCATCGGAATATTAATTAATACGGGCATTTCATTACGTTAAATTGCGTACATATTGATGTAGACACTGTAATCCAATCTCGTTCCACTGAACGGCTTATATTCTGTAGCGCGTATGTATTATAGTACGTAGTACTCGTTACAATAAACTATTAACGAAACTCAACTTTTCTATCTGCGTACAGAAATAGAATTCGGGATCCCCGTAAGTCTTTATTTTAACAGCGTACACTTTCAAGTTGCGATCTTTCGATAATTTTGCGCATACACTTTCTACATTCTATATATGTATATATTCTTTTTCCCTTGAACTTTTATCTTATAAAATTATCTTTCCTTTTTGAATTATCACTATCTTATCTGTATTACCAAGTGCAATAATAAAACGCCACTTATCGGCAGCGATTCATAATATTTACTGCCAATTACATAAAAATTACAATAAGAAAGAAATAAGAGAAAGAAGGATCGAGAGTTTCCAAACTGTACACGGAGAGAATTTTCTTTTAAAATTTACCCTGAAAATCATGTTGTGAGACAATATAGTATTTAGGTAAATTGTCTCATAATTAACATGATTTGCAGGGTAAATTTAAAAAAAAATTCTCTCCGTGTACATATACATATATATGTATATATATCGCGTAGCTGCAAGATCAGTTATCCATAATTTCTCTGACGCAGTTCGCATTAATCACTCTTAATAACTTCGCCTATTCTCCGCCAGAAAAGTCGCAACCTCACCGAGCAAATCCCTATCAATTCCTCCCCATTTCCCTATCTTAATTCAACGAATCTCCTATTATTCAAACCCACTCGCCTGCGAATTTGCATACATGCTGAATTTAGAAACCGGCGCGGTTACCCCGGGAGGTGCTTGGAAGTAATTCATTTGCCGGTTTAAATAATCCAACAAATTTATCACTACCTGCTAACCCACGCCGCGAGGGGACCCTTTTATTCCACGCGGCGAAAGGCCGCGTGTCGAGTTTCATCCCTGAATGTTCCATCCCTGCCGGGGCAGCTGCGAACGCGACGACGAATGCGACACGCGGGTAAAAGTCGGAGGTCAAAGCGGATGCGCTGGATTGCGAGTGAAAAGGAGCGGAGCGGAAAATTGTGCGAACGTGCGGAAGCATGATGTTTTTTTTTTTCTTTTTCCGCCAGCATCAATGGTGTCTCTCGACATTCGCGTCCGAGCGATTTGCGGCAAATATTAAGTTATTTGTCATCAAACTCGTATCAGCGACCGCCGAGCGAATACAAATCGTATATCGATTTCCCAACGGCACGAAACAAAAACCGCGATGAAAATCGTCGTTAAATAGGTCGCGGGCTCGTTTAGCCGAATACCGATTTACAATCTAGATTCCTGCGCTTAGAGCTAATTGCTCAAAATTCAGAGCGATATCGGTCGATTGTAATCGTCGATTACACGGTGTCCGCCACCTCCTGCTTAATGCGTTACAAATCCGGACTACAGAAGAAAAGGTGGATAATTTAATGTACCGACAATGCCGGTACATTAAGATCTTACGAGAATTAATTTCAATTAAACCGTACAAAAGTTTCACTCTTTCATCAAGCCTTTGTAGCCTGCAATAATAATAAACGCGTTAGATAGAACTGATAGAAGACTAAAGGTTCCAAAAATTAATTCGAACAATATCACAACATTTGAACATTAATACGAGATCAGTCGATGTTAATACGATCATCCGCGTCTATCGTTAATCTGCCGCCTTTATAGAGCTGTAATTTATAGAAGAGGAGCAAATACACCGGAAAGCCACAGAGTCTCTCGGCTCGACTCCGGCTTGCGCCCCGCTGTCTCGCAGCCGCGGATCGGAGCCGCGGATCAAAAGGGGAGTCATCAATGGTCTCCCCGGGCGATGTGCGCGAGGGCAGACTACAAGTACGCTACGATCGGTCACGTGATACGCCCACGCTCATTCACGATCATTCAAAAATCCGGCCGAGCCGCCCCGCGGCGACCGGCGGACGCGATAAATGTCACCGTCTCGCGGAGCCGGCACCGGGCTGAAACGGCGCCGCGCCGTCCGCGTCGGCGACGCGCGACCGGACCGGCGGCGGACAGGACAGGAGCAAGGTGCTCCCGCTCGCCTCGCGAGAGAACGTACGAGAATCGATCGAGCGCGCGCCGCGAACGTCGTGCACAACCGTAATCGGAGCAAGGCTGCTGGTATACATATTACGCGCGCCGCGTATAATGCACGCCCGAACGACGCGCGGACGACGACGGACGGCAACGGACGGGTATACGTCCGTGACGTGGACGTCGAGTTTCACTCACCGCTCTAAGGGCAGCCCTCGCTGGACGGCTCCTCGGCAGGCGTCGGGTACCGTCAGATCTCCGCAGGCAGATCCAACGCGCTCACGCTCGGCTAACCCCCTGCCAAGATTTGACACGGGCCCACACACGGACGACACAGCTGTTCGCGACTTCGCGCACGACCGCCAGGCGGCGCGGGCGTCGCGTCCGGCGCGGCGGCAACGAGCAATGAGTCATCCCGCCGCCGCAGCCAGGCAGGGCGGGGGAGAATTGAAACCGCGATCGGGCTGCCGTGCTCTCCGGGGTATCGATACGTGGGAAAAATCCACGTGTATATCGACGAATAAATTGCGGCTTCGATTCGAATGGTTTTTTTTTTATGTATCGCCAATGAAACTTTGCTGGAAAATCGTTGAATTAAATAATGGTGTCGATTGATTGTGTAACACTGATGGGAAACATGGTAACGATTTTGTAAAAATGGTATGTATTTTGAAAAAAATCTTGTCAGGAGTAACATTATTCTTTTTTTTTTCAATTTTGATAAATTCTTCATCTATTAAAATATAAAATTATATAATATTATGTACATTTAAAAATAAATTTGAGACGGTGAATAGCTAAAGTACAGTAGAAGTTGCCTGTAAAACGGAAACATGATTCAATTCATATGTAAGCGTATATTTAAATATTAAAATATTATTCCACTATCACTGCCTCAAGGAGTCAGAGATTATAAGCTTCGGAAACAAACAAGGCCAAGATTACTTTTATTATCATTATTAATACAATGAAACAGATGGTAATATTATACAATAAAATAGTACCGTTTTACAGAAGAGCTTCGTTTTATCATAAAGCTTCATCATTACGTAGCGTTTTTGTTGAAACATCCTGCATTGCGTTTTGATCTTGTCCCTTCCTTACAACGATATGTAGTCCTTGAGTTGTTCGTCGATCTCCGAGTTGAGTGTAAGCATCAATTGGTCAAACTGATGATCCCCAACTATTCCTCGCAACGTGATCAGCTGACAATTTCAGAAAAAGTTTCAGTCTTCGGATTGACTGTCTAAGAAAAAAGAAAAAAAAGAAAATACTTATGAGAGATTCTCACCTGACTTTGGAGCGTATCTTTTAAAGATATACTGTGCACAGGATCGCTGAAGACGAGTCTCTTCTGTCGTTGAGCGTGTTCGGTTTCATAATCCACGTCCTCGTACTGCGAAGGACTGGGCTGATCGCTAATCATTAAGGAACTAGAACAATTTTCATTCCAAATACATTTAAAGGCATTAGGGCTCGTCAAGAGTAATAGGCGTTACTTCACTATTGTAATTTTCATTCCGCACGTATTTCAAAGTTCACTATTCTATTTTCTTTACAAGAATCTTACGTAATCAATGAACGTATAATTATGATACTGATGTAAATATATACCGGAACATTTTTCAATGAACGGTTATAAAAAAAGGGCACTTATCAACTATAACATTTAAAGACTTGAATAAACGATTATTTAATAAGTAAATGTTAAAGGGTCGCGACATTATGGCTATCGGGTTTATCGCCGTTACTGAAAAAGATTTCGATCTCATGTCACGACTTTGTCGCAACTACACTGCAAATTCAAATGTATAGATCTGTGGTTACTTTTTACGCATTTATACGCATGTTACATTTTTACACTCATTTTTATCTGTGTTTTACACAGTTAAATACAAATATTTTTTACATGCTTACACATATTATTGTAAAATTAAGCGTGTAAAAAATATTTGTATTTAACTGTGTAAAACACAGATAAAATGCATAAAAATACTACAGTACACGCTACACGCACATGGATTTGCAGTGTACACGCATAAAGAGAATTTCAAGCCTTACTCGACTGGGTACCCCATATCGTCAAACTTGGTGATGTCGTTAAGCGTCTCGACAATGTTCAATATTATCTGCGGGAAGTATTCGAGAACCGTGGGCGGACTGTTCGCCCCGAGGAGGGAACAGAGTGCAAGGGCTAATAACTTGCGCCTTTCGGTCTGAGGCACCAGCGGCATTGCATTGACCCAACTGTGTATCAGTTTTCCGAGTACGACGTCCTCCCTCGTTTCCGTTACTATACTCTGCGCTAAATCGCCGATTACCTGCGATAATATCCATGATTACCGAGCATGCTCTTTATGTTTAAAAAAAAAAAAAAAAGAAATTCGCAGAGATAGAATTTTTCTCACCTGTACAAAAATATCACGGGAACCTAGTAAAACTCTCGCGACGATAGAAAGATTCATGGCCATGACTAAATGATACTCATCGCCATTGTAAACTGTCCTGTTGGGATTAACACAACGCGTTGTTAACACAATGTTCTAAATATCCGTTCGAGATTATATATATATATCTTTCAGAGGCGGCTACTACTCACTCGAATATCTTTAGCAAAACGGGCTTTATCAATTCCGCACCCTGTTGAGGGGAGGTTCTGAGGCAGATCTCGAACAATCTCAGCACCATCGCTCTGCCCTCCGACCGCAAATCACTGAGGAGCGTTTTCAGCGATTCAATGACCACCGAGCCCCTCTGAGTGAAGAAGTCCTGCGGGCTCAGTAACACGTACACCTGAATTATGTATAAACATAAACGCAGATTCTCCGTGGATTGATCTGAAAACAGTAGAGGTGGAAAGTTAACGTCATCATATAAATCGTTAAGACGCTACCAAATAATTAACAATTATCAACAGCGTAAATATCCATATCGCTAACCCAATAACGCTGGCATGTTCCTGAAGAGATCCATTATAGCTGGCGTCGGAGTGGGCGCGTTCTCCAACAGGGCTATCCACAGCTCCAGTCCGTCTTCTAATAAATAAACGTGCCCCTCTTGATTAACGTCGACACTCAGAGCCACGACGCCCACCACCAACGGCTCCAGAATAACGCTCTCAGAACCCAGAGCCTGTTAACACGACGTGGCATTAGAAAAAAAAAAATATTAACAGCATTTATCGATTTATTGATTCAGTAAATCGCGCGCACTCACCTTCTCCAAGTGTATCAGAGTCGATACTATGGCACACCTCAGCATGTTGTATTTCTCAGATTGCTGCCAGAGTTCCGGTAGATACGAGCTGAGTGCGCCGACATGCGGCTTGATTCCGCTGCCAACGCGCTCGATAATGAAAGATAAAACGTATAGCACATGCATCTGAGGAATAGAACTCGTAAGAAATAATCTAAAGAGCTTGAGAAGAAATAAAATGCTAGTTCTTTTACATGCGTACTTTTGTATCGCACTCGTTTACTTCCTTAAGAAGCGCGAAAAGTAGAGAAAAGACTGGCTCCAGGAAGGGAGAGAATTTCTCCGAATTGAATTGGAAATCGTCGATCGCCTGTTTCAATGCATTGCTCGCCGCTAAACGAACTCCCAAATCCTCCTCGGGATTCAACGTTTCTATCATGAGCTTGTACAACTCCGGCCTTAATTCCTCGCTTAATTTGATATCTGCGAGAAATAAATTTGCAAATAGTAAACAATCAATTTCACGTATCTTTTCAAAGAAATTATCAACGTACTCGTCCACTGGCCAATCAGCCAACACACGCGTCTTCTGATAATTCTGTAATTGTTATTGCGAACCTTTAATTCCTCCTTTAGAGTCGTCGAAAACCACTGATCGAAGTTTACCTGTCGACATAAAGGCACAATAGCTGGATTAATTAAATGTTTATATGAAATTCTTGAAATAATGTTCGCTTACCTCGTCGTACAAATCGAATGCGGCGAGACCAACCGCGCGGTAGACCGCGTCCTTCACTAAAATCGCATGCAAGTTGTTAGGATCTACCGGTTGGTGATGCTGTCGCATCAAATCAACCAGAACCGAAGCGAGAACGTCTCTAAAGTGATGGAAGATCGCCAAAAATAAGGATTCTGTGCAAGGCTGCAATATAGCACACATTTGCATTATGATACATTTATAGTAATTATGATAAATATATCGAGGGGTCAACCACTGTGGGGAAACAAGCGTACATTTTTTTTAGGAATATATTGCCAGTATTGCGGCAATACAACGCTAGCAATACGCTATCAATACATAGCAATACCTCGAGCAATGCCTAGCAATATATTAGCAATACTTGGCAATATTACTGATTGAATATTGTGCAATAGGTGGCAGTACATGAGATAATAGACGGCAATATTATTGACAATACGAAAGCAATACTAGCAATAAAGTGTATTGTATTGCCAATAATTGGCAATCACTGTACTTTTTTTTTTTAGCAGTGGTTGACCCCTCAAATTATATATTTTGATAATTTTTATATCGTCTGATTACTCACCCTCAAACTATATTTCCATGATTCTCCGCCATCGTCAATAGCTGAAACGCAAGCAACGCCTTTTTATAACTTCTGTATTTAATTACATTCTCTCATCTCGTACGATATATTATCGAATGAGATTTTTCAAAAATATATCATTATAATAATGCCATGCTTACCGAAATTTTCTGGCTGAAGATCCCACATTTCAAGATCCGCAGGTGTCAAAAGGAAGTAATGCGTGACAAGCCTGGAGCAAATCTCCGTTAATATTTCCGGTGTGAAAAATTCTTGCCTCAATTGGCACGCCCTCAAAACCAATGGATCTTTCGTCTCTGTCAATAAAGAATGTTGTCGTTAAGATATCGCATGCGGAATACGTCGCACAGACGAAGAGAAAGTTACAACTTACGTACCTTCGATAACCTTAGCTGGTCTATAATACGTCGATAATAAAATGGTCTTCATTAAATTCAGACACTGAATAATAAATTTTTCAAATGCTAACGCTTGGCCAGCTTCTGTGAAGCAGTAAAAAACGGAGAACTCTAGAGAAGTCGGTATGAATTCCACGTAGCAAAACGGATGCATTTCTAAGACACCTATTAAAACTTTGGTCAAATGTATTATAAACTTTTCGCACACATCCACTTGTACTCCTCTAGAAGCTAAAGTTTTTCCTGGAGAAAAAAAAAAAGAAATAGCTATAACATTTTTACAATACACATCAAGCTCCATTTAAATACTTCCAAACAGCGTGAGAGATGTTTTTTTTTTTATAAAATAGAAAACAATACTAACGGCACTCAAGGCAGGTCCTTGCACGCTCGAAAACGACTTTCAGAAACAACATGGCATCTTGAGATTCGGATGGCTTGGAGAAACCATGTACGATCAGTTGCCTAAGTATTCTTAATAGTAGAAGTGCTTTCTCTAAGGTTTCCTGTGTCTGACTGACGTCGGCCCCGTTAGACGCCATAATCAGGAAGGACTCGGTATAAGTGTTCCATAGATTTAGAATAAAATTGAACATAGTCGCAGTCAATTCTCGGAAGAGCCTCTGTCCGTCGGCCAGGCGTCGTGACGACAAGGCCTTGACGACGCGGTGCAGCGTCAGTACCGCCTGACGCTGCGCCAAAGGGTTTTCTTGCCGGATTACTTCCAACAATGTTGGTACCAGCGTACCCCACTCTCTGGGACAATCATACCTGTAAAATAAAGAGGGTAAAATAAAGAGATTAAGTATTTTAATTTGTTACATATTCATATAACTGAATTAATGTTATACGGTAAGATGCGGGTTTCAGAATAAGAAGCAATGTGAATGAAAAAGGTATAGATGGATGCATGATTTAGTAGATTCTATTGTAAGTCAAGTTCCGCTTCCTGGCTTTTATGTACGGCTGAAGGAAGTAAATATTGTATTCTACATAATTAAATTAACATACGTTAATATTGTAATAACACGCATTACCTTGCTATCTTGGCAATAAGGACTGCTAATTGTATAGATAATGGACTCATGGGCTCGTCAAAATTTCTGAGCAGGTGCTGCCGCAGAAATTCCTTCTCATTGTCTTCGATTGCGCTAGAGAGTAACGATATGCATTGTTAAATATTATATACTACTGTCAGTACGTTTGATTTTTGTGTTCAACACGACGCTTCCTGTTTTAAGACAAACGTTTCTTACTTTGGCGCATTTTTCCTCCAGTATCTGTCGACTCCGATCTTCAGATACACTACAGCCATCCATCTAACTTCGATAGCCAAGGAATGATTTGAAAGAACATTCTAAAAATAATGTTTGCACCGTCAGTTATAATTTTCAGAGATCAACATAAAAGAAATATGTAACGATACGTAAAGCTGTAATCATGCTAGCGATTGAGATCGAAATTGGATTGGGATTTGGTCGATCGAAGCAAAAGTTACTGAACTTGATATTAGTTTTATTTTTCTTCTGGTTAGTCAAATTCCAATCCAATCTCAATTTCCATCGCTAGTGTGATTACGACTTTAGGCAATCCTAAAAAAAAACATTTGCTATACACATGTTTATATTACAACTCCATGTAGCGTTCCACAAGTTCAGTACGTACATGGGGAGCATAGAAAATATTATACACAAGTTTACAGGCCTGCGTGAAAGGCCTCTCCCCTGCACAAGGATACTCACATACAACGCTATATAAAATCCTTGCTGAGTCTCCCATTGCTTCAGCGTTTCCTCCGCGGACTTGAGAACGTTGGGGTCCTGACTGACCGCCTGTCGTAGGACTTCTATCACCGCGGCTTCCATGTCTTCTTACTGCACACAAATACGAATATTATATGCGGCACGGAGTCCGCACCCCAACGACGTACCCCCGTACCCGTGCGTATATATATATATTATCTAACGTCGCGCAGTTGCATCATCCGTCGCGGTTTTTCGGCACGAAAGCGACGGCGGTCCGGGAAACGGAGTCGGAGCCCCGACGAGTCGCGGTCGACTTGTCCCGAGGAGACAGGGGGGGGATCGCCGAGAAGCGGGCCCGCGGGGGAACAGCGAGCATGTGGGCTCGCGGCGGGACGGAACCGCGCGGAGCTCCCTGCGCGCGACTCGCGAGGCTGAGGCGAGCCGCAGAACAATATCGCCGATCACGCGGGGGCCCTCGTTACATCATTATTTCGCGTATCGCTCGCGAATTACACCGTCGTCGTCACCGTCGTCGTCGTTGTCGTCACGGTCGTTCCGGTGAACGAGATGCCCTCTAACCTATACCGCGAGCGACGACGGTGGGCGGCCGAAGAGGCGGCGTACATACACACACGGGGACGGGGCATACGGGCGCCGCGCCGCGCCGCGCGGGGGGCCGGGAGGGAGCCGAACCGGGTTTACCTGTCTCGCAACCGGTGCCGCAAAGTCTCATTCCGCGTGCTCCATTTGCCGCTCCGTTTTGCGCGCAAGGGACAGAGTATTTACGTAGTAAATCGATACATAACGAAAATCCTCCGGCGATCCCCCTCTCTCTCTCTCTCTATCTCTCGTTCACGGAGAGCCGCTGCTGCTGCTGCTGCTGCTGCTGCTGCTGCCGCACACACGCTCCGCGCCGCGACGTAGACGAGACGTGTCCGTCCGGCGGCGAACGGCACCTTCCCGAAGCGCAACGTTTTCCCTTTCCTTCCCTACCCTTCCCTTCCCTTCCTCTTCCCACCACGACAATTCGCCGGTCACCGCGCCGCTTCTTCGACTCGCGCGACTCTCACTCACTCTCGGCCTCTCCTCTCCTCTTCTCCCGCTCCTTTTTTCTCCCTTTCCTTCCCTCCCTTCGACTCGCGCGCGCGACAGCAATATAATTGTACTGGCAATAGTGACAGTTTGTCGGGCGCGTGCGTATGTATATATATATACAGCTACGTGTATCACGCGGAGAGATAAAGCGAGACAAAGAGCGATCAAACACCCGATTAGCTTAATCGGCAATTAACGTGGCGAGCGACAGCCGCGGTGGAGCTGTGTGTTCACGGCCGCTGAAACTGCCGACTCCTTTTACACGCGGAAGAAAGATAATTAAATGAGCACATGTTACTTGTTGGGGGGGGGGGGAGGAGAAACGTCGCTGCGAGCCAATCGTGCAGTCGACGTATAGTTAATCGCCAATTAAGTTAATGACAGTTTTTCATCGGAGTCACAATGGAAAGCGCCACTGTTTTGTTCGTAGTTCCTGAAGATCTTCTCCCAGCTGTTTTATATTTTTTTATTATTACTATTATTATTACTCGCCTTTGCTGCCTTTATTATCGGAAATAATAGCCACTGTAGATATAGACAGGCAGAGAAATACGAAATTAAGAAACAAACAAGATCGGGCACGTGACGGAAATCGACGAGCGAGGGACAACCTCACGCGCATTTCCGGTGGTCCGCCGCGGAATTCGCGTTCGTTTCCGGATCGCGTCGTCGCTCTCCGGCTCTCTGCTCCGCTCTGCACCTCAATTCGAATCGGCGGATCCTCGCCGCGCTCCCACCGAGGCCGGATGTCCGGCGCGCGCTGCGCGCGCACGCGCGAGCGGCGCCGTGTCCGTTCGGCGGCAGCACCGGCGGTTCTCTCTCGCCGATCGCTCCTTCGTTCCATGGCTCGTGGCATCGTTTGAATCGCGTCACGATGAAGGTAAGAATCCGCGAATATCGCGGGAATCGCGCGTCTCCCGCCGGAGATACGGGCCTCCCTCGATTCACCAGGCCACCGCGGTCGCGACGGCGTCCTCACATTCGTCGCGATCTCGTTTATTCGCGCATAGGCACCGAGCGTAAATAAGCGTCGACGTCAGGTGACGGCAGGGTGAAACGTGCGCAAGTTTCGCCGCGTTATAATCGCCGTGGCGCGCGACCGCGACGTGCGTCTCGTTGTTTCAACTCGCGACTCGTGGAACCGACGTCGCGCAACGTCGTAACAACGAAATTGCGCCCTTCTGCTGGCTGCCGAACCCTCTGGAGGAAACTCTAACCTAGTTTAACCTAATCCTAATTTAGGCAGTGCAATGCGCTATGTAAACCTTGCGAGAAGGTTGAAGGCGCTACAATCCAGCCGGTGGAGTGAAAGGGGGGAAAAAAATCCCAATTTAGAAACCTTGAGCGTGTGCAGCCCTTCTACAGTTGTACTTGGTGTTGTTGCAGCTGAACGTGTCGTATCCTGCGACAGGATGTCAGAAGCTGTTCGAAATTTCGGACGAGCACAAGCTCAGAATCTTCTACGAGAAGCGCATGGGCGCCGAGGTCGAGGCCGACGCGCTGGGTGACGAATGGAAGGGCTATGTAGTCCGCGTCGCCGGGGGTAACGACAAGCAGGGCTTCCCCATGAAGCAGGGTATCCTGACGAACGGTGGGTTCATGTTACATTTTACAATGGTACAATTAGTATGCATAAGAAGTTATTCCTCATCCAAAGTCACAATGGAAAGAGCCACTGTTTTATTTGCGATTCTACAGATCTAAAGATTCTGAAGATTTCTAAAGATCTTCTAGCTGTATTATATTTTTTTACTATTACCACTTACCTTTGCTGTGTATATTATTGAACAATGGCCGCTATGTAGATAGAGACAGAAATATGAAGCTAAGAAACAGACAAGATTAAACACACGACGCAATGAAAGAAGATAATTTGCTAAACTTCACTCATCTTTAATCTGTAGTTATTTTTGACTTTATTCTCTTGAATCTGTAATAAAGATTACAAACACTTGTGATTTTTCATATCATATAAGAAGATAGTTTGCTAAACTTCACTCATCTTTTATCTGTAGTTATTTTTGACTTTATTATAACTAATAAGTTAAAATGTAGATATGAAAAATCACAAGTGTTTGTAATCTTTATTACAGATTCAAGAGAATAAAGTCAAAGATAACTACAGATAAAAGATGAGTGAAGTTTAGCAAATTATCTTCTTTCATTGCATCGTGTGTTTAATTTTGTCTGTTTCTTAATTTCATATTTCTGTCTCTATCTATATAACGGCCATTGTTCAATAAAATCACAAGTGTTTGTAATCTTTATTACAGATTCAAGAGAATAAAGTCAAAGATAACTACAGATAAAAGATGAGTGAAGTTTAGCAAATTATCTTCTTTCATTGCGTCGTGTGTTTAATTTTGTCTGTTTCTTAATTTCATATTTCTGTCTCTATATAGCGGCCATTGTTCAATAATATACACAGCAAGTGGTAATAGTAAAAAAATATAATACAGCTAGAAGATCTTTAGGAATCTTTAGAATCTTTAGAATCCAGCTCCAATACTATTAGACTCCAATACTAGGAATACTTTTTTTTTAACATGATATATTGTTTTTTTGCATAGGCCGTGTGCGTTTATTACTTTCCAAGGGACACTCTTGCTATAGACCACGACGAGACGGTGAGCGCAAGCGCAAATCCGTTCGCGGTTGCATCGTAGACTCCAATTTATCCGTACTGGCGCTTGTCATCATAAGGAAGGGTAAACAGGTAAATGATCAATCGCGATATATTTTTTTCAGATGCTAAACGTTAGAAACCCCATGCAGTTCAGGGTGTATTCGAGATATTCAATTTTCTTGAAATACTATCGTACGCATGGGAGATGAAATTCGTTTTTTGATTTGGGAAACTGCTATGTTATTTGTGCTTTTTCTCAGTGTACGAACGGAACACCTTTTTCTTATCTGTTAACAATTTATTAATTATAATTTTAATAATTAACTCTTAATTTTTTACAGAAATGATATAAGTTTTAAATTTTGAGTAGAAAATTAATTGAATTCTAAATATAATTAAATATAATAATATATGTATTGATTAAAATTTATTCTCGAGTCGTATTCAAAATTAATAAGCTCTAAAGCTTAATCGGTTTTTAATATGAATCAATTACAGGAAATCCCAGGATTGACCGACATGAACGTACCGCGTCGCCTGGGACCGAAGAGGGCTAGCAAAATTCGCAAGCTCTTCAATCTTTCGAAGAAGGATGATGTTCGGCAGTTTGTGGTAAAACGACCGATTCAAAAGGAAGGAAAGAAGGAACGGTTTAAGGCGCCGAAGATTCAGCGTTTGATCACTCCGATCGTTCTTCAAGTACGTAATCTTAGAAGAATTTATGAAGACACGAAATTTAGAATTTTTACAGAAATTTAATTTTTAAAGATAAATGTAAATACACTCTGAAAATACTGAAATTGAGTTTAAATCATCTGTTTAGTTAAATAAAAGATCAGAACATTATATTCAAATTTAAATTCGTTTTCAAATCTATTATATTCTAATTGTAAGACGTAAAAAAATGCTTCGCTTACAGAGAAAAAGACACAGACTGGCGCTGAAGAAGAAGCGCTGCCTGGCGCGCAAGGAGCAAGCCGCGGAGTACGCGAAGCTGCTGGCGCAAAGGCAGAAGGAGGCGAAGAACCGGCGCCAAGAGGAACTGAAACGAAGGCGCAGCGCCTCTTTGCGCGAATCCAAATCGTCGACTCAAACGGCACCAGCGACACAAGTTCAGTAAATCGATTGAATCCTGAAATGTATTTACACATCAATAAAAAAAGTTTCAACTATCTTCTCCCTTATCATATTAATTTCTTTAAACTTTTATTATGTCCCGCGCGATGATAAATAATAAATCTGAATAATTTACTGACAAATGTAGAAATAACTTTTTAATTTATTGATATATGCTATTGTATATTTATAACAATATAATATACTTTAATATATTTAATTTTTCTTCAAGTTAAGTTAATATATTTCCTTTAAAATATAAATAACGATAATTTCTCCAACTTTAAACGAATGTTGTTATTCAACGGTTCTATTTATTTTTCTCTCACGCTCTCTGCCAATTGGTCGCGATAAAGGGCGATACACGTGTATCGATGTATCGAGTGACAAAAATAACGTCCATGAAAACTTCACATAATAAAACAAATGACAGTTTGGCCGGTGTTTGGCGCCTAAAGTTAGGCTAGGCGTCTCTGAATTCGCTTACGTCAAATTACGGGATCACAGTATTCACAGTGCACACAATGTAATCGTATCATAAGTTGACTTTTTCGTCATTTCCAAAGAGTGCCCGTACAGATTTATACACCGTGTGTCTCCTCATGATACAGCAAATCCTTCCACGAGTATCTACGCGCGATAGAGTCCTTCTGTTTTAGGATCGAAGCCTCTAAGTACAACCTCAGTGAACTTGTAAACATGTACGTATACCCTGTTGTGCTCGTTTCCACTTTTTCTTCTTTCTTGTCAATAATTTGAAATGCTGATAAATATTGCTGATGCAATGTGATAAGGTGACATTACTGGATCTACCTAGATCTACCTTCTCCTTTTGCAAAGCTGCACCTTTCGTAGACTCTTCTCACGCTTATGAAATATACATAAAATCGCAGTAATGTAACGTACGTACCTAATTTAGAATTTGAAAAAGGGACGAAAAAGAAGGGAACAAGAAATTGCATTGAAACTGAGCCGCAATATTTGAAGGCTCGTTTTATTCCACGTGCGGAGATTGTAAAGTTAAAGTGTGGCTAAGGAGAACAAGTTCGAGATTATAAGAATCCTCCTTGATCTACATCCAATTTCTTTTTCAAGACAGAAATATGCCGAAAGTGCCGAGGAAACTCGCGAGAGCCACGTCACAATCGGCCAAAGCGCCCGTTCAGCCGCACTTCGCCATCCCTACGCAATCCTCGTTGATGAAAGAGCGGACGCGCCCGACGAAATCGTCATCGATGGAGGATGCGAGCGAGTCGAAGAAATCGCAGGGAGGCGGCATTCTCAAATTGAACAGAATCCACAGGAAACGGAACGGCGTCACGAAGCAGAGCAGGGGTATGCAGATGCTGATAATGGTACTCAAACAAAATCAACGGGACCGTCGTACGACCGTTTATCTCCCCGGTGGCGATCTGGCGGGAACGACCTGTCAGCTGGACAGCACGCTCATTTCGCTTAAGAGCGACTTGATCAAGGACGTGTCCTGCGATCTGAAAAAAATTAGCGCCGGTAGTCCAGCGAAAGTGGCGACTCGCCGTGGCGGATCGACGTCGAGAGTCGTCAGCGAGTCGTCGTCCTTCCGCGCCGAAGATTCGCACGTTTCTCCCCAGGACGGAAGCGCGAACTGCGCGGGAAAAGATAACTCTGAGAACATCCCCGTCCCCTCCGAGAAGCGTACGTTGGTAAACGTTACGTATCAGCTTCGTTCGATCGGATTGCGTTCGATCGACGAGGATGTGCCCGCGGATCCGCGTTGCGAGGTCGATCAGGACCTCTGCCATCCGACGGAAACCGAAGAGAAACCGGACGATCCTCCGAACAGAGATCGCTCCGAGATCGAGGCGCGAGTACACCCGCCGCGGGATTTGGACGTCGCGACGAGTGGCGAACGCACTTTGACGTACGGAAAAGCCGAGGGCGAACACGCCGACGTCGACCGCGCGTGTCACGCCGACTCGCAAGGTCCCCAGAGCGCGAGATTAACGAAGCACGTTGGTAATCCGAGAAACAATTCGGCGAACGACAGGCCGATTGTGAGCGGTGCGACTGTCCGGAAGAGGGCTGTTCTTCAAAGGAATCTTGCTTCCAATCAGCGAGTCTGGAGGCCACCCGGCGCCCCGAAAACGTGGGTTACGGAAAGCGCAACGTCTTTGCGACCGATATCGCAGAAGTTGTCTCAATCCGAAAAATCCACCGCCTCGACGAAGAGCAAACACTCGTCGACTGAACGCATCGAGTAATATATCTTTTTTGCTATTCTAATTTCTATTTTGCATTAGTTACTTTTCGCGTAATATAATGTCTATGTACAGATTCTTCCGAAGCTAACAAACTTTTCTACAGATATTTTCTATAATTTCTAGACGATACCTTTCTAATCTAAATTCTAATCTAAAAAAATTCTAGTCTAAATTTTTGTTTTTAGTTTTTTCATTCTACATTATTATTGTTATAGATATTAAATTGGATTTTTAAAAATGCTTTATTTTATGTAAAATAATTATAATATATTAAAAAATTTACTTTATAATAAGAAATTAAGAAATGTGTGCAACGCGTGAAACTAAATACGTTGTATTAAATACAACGAACGATTTCGTATTCTATGCATTCTGCATTTGTAATTTTAGATCCTTCAGCAGTGATTCTACGGGTATTTCTACGGGCTCGTCGGCAAATCAGTCCAAGATGCCGATGAAAGAGAACAGAGACCCTCAGGCGAATCGCATGACTAAAGTCTACGAGCATCTCGCGTAAGAGACGTTTATCTTATATAATGATAATGAATATGTAAAGCTCTTATATTCCAAGCACTGAGATAATGACGTTGAGTTAATACACGACGATTTTATTACAGGGCAGTGAAACAGCGGCAGAGGCTGCAAAGCGGAGGGACGCCGAAGAAGAAAAGATCGCGAACAAAGATCGGTCCAGCTTTAGTTAAACGCGACGACACGAAATCTCTGTCGAAATCGAAATTGCCGCGATATTGTCAAGCGCGATCGGTCACGCCGAAGAAATCATTGAGGAATTTGAACAACGTCGGACAGCGTCCGACCAAGTCCGTCACGATTTACAACAGATCGAAAACTTTGGAGGTAATCCACACTATGAAAAATATCGGCAGCGTAAGAAAGGACGAAGACGCGGAGAAAAATGTGAAGGGTGACGACTTCCGTCGCGAGAAAAAAAACGACAGCGAGATCCAAACGTCGTCGAACAGCGACACTTCGCAGATTAGCGAGCTACGTGTTCCGACGAAAGACACAAACTTGGATGAGGCGGATCGACCTTCCCAGAGATCGATAAGCACGCAGACGGAATTGGATTCTCCTTCCGCTTGCCACGAAATTGACGCCGAGCGGGACCAAGATCTAAAGAAAATTTTTAAACTGGAGACTCGAATTGTCGCAACGCAAACGTCGCCAATTTCCAGCAGAAATGCAGTTGAAATTGGATGCAACACTTCTGTCGTTTATAATGATGCAGAGGTTTCCTGCGATCTCATAGGCTCCACAAACTTGAAGGAAGTTGATCCAACCGTGATTGAAGATAAATCGATGTTGAATGTCGATAGTAACGAAAATAAAGGACTTCTGCTTAGCGAGTGCAAAGAGACATTAAATGCGGAGACGAGCTTAAAATTAGAAAATTGTGATAGCGCGAAAAATTCGGCAAAAGCGACAAACGATGCTGCTAGAGAGATAGAGAAGATTACGCTTGAAAATGCTTGCCAAATTTCTCAGAACAGCATCGATATCGATCAAAATCAGAAATCCGCAAAGTGCTCCAGTGTAAATAAAACTTCAGTAAATAGTCTATTTTTAGAAAGATCTCGATCGTCGATCTACGATGCATCTTGCTTTTCCGAAGAAATCGTGGAGCGTCCCGAAAATGACGTCCGATGCGAAGATATGGTCACGTCGGAATTGAAGGTGGAGGATATACCGAGCGACGTGGTCGTGGCTTTCGAGCTCGCGGCGGAGCGCGCGCGCAATCTTCACGAAGCGGTCATTATATACCACAAAAATTTAATGTCGAGGGAATCGGGGAAGCGAAATGAGGAGAAGATTACGGTCGAAGATTGCGAGACGTCCGAGTTCCGCGACGAGAATTCACTCGTAAATCGCGAAAATATAAATAAAATAAAAACCGAATTGGAAGCGATGTGTCATCTGATGAATAACGAAGATTTCGGCGGATTTTCAACGTGCTCGTCGCGCGGCAGTAGCTCCGACCAGAGATGCGGATCGGAATTTTCGAGATCGTCGAGGAACGATCGTTTTGGGGTAAGGCGAGAAGAGAGCGTTGTTCTCTCAGAAAACGAGCGAGCGAGATCGAACCTAAACGAACGCTCCGATCTCGAAGATGTGAAATCGTTGATGCAACTGGTGCATCGCTCGGAAGAGGATTATGCGCTCGAATTGTTAGAATCGGAGAAAGATGAAAGTTTTGATACGGAAAGAAATAATTATAAAACTTTGGCACTTCCCGCAGCAGTTGATAGAGATTCTTTTATATCGCGCGAGAATATGTTTCCTTTTATTTGTTGCATTGTTTGCACTGTAATATTTTGGTTTTTGCAATTTTCGTTCCGATGCGACTCGAAGAAGTAACCTTGTGTAATTTACATTTTTATATATTCAGACACCGTATAATATTGATTTCGTTAATATTTCACTTAAATGTTTTTTCTTTCATTTCAATAAATAATATTCCCTGTACATGTTATATTTTATTATATTCGTAAATGTTATAAACGTATACATATATACTGGATGTTTTGCATTATATAAAAATAAACTTACAAAAACTTGGGAAAGTGCGTTGTAGAAAATTACATTTTCTCTCTCAAAGGAACGAAGAGATTCTGTAAAAGACTTATCTAATAAAAGAGTTAATACTAGAAAGAAAGAAATGTTGAATATTATTTTTTTTTTCGGCACGTTATATCAATAAATTCTGTAAAACGTCAATTTCTCAATTAATTTACGCACCATCTTTTTATCGAAGTCCATTATTATACATATATATTATTGAAGTAATAATACTACAATATAATATTCGAATTGAATATAAATTAAAATAAATGGATGTTTGAATATAAATTGTTCACGAGAGATTACTGTGAGTAATGCAACGATTTTGCAAATAATATATCTCTCGGATAAAACCAAAGTATTTACGTTATCACGCTATAATCAGATGATTCAGCCAAATGCACCTGACATTCTTAGCATAACGATCGGTTTGAATTAAGATCGAAGCTGAACTCGAATCATCACGTAGCCATTCATTCGGCCTCGAGGACGTCGACGGTTGCGCAACCGGTGATGTCGACTATTTCTTTCGAGGTGAAAGTGGCGATTATCTTTTGTTCTCCAGGCTTTTGCGGCACGAGCTGGTGTTCCACGTAAACGTCCTCCTCTGGCCCAACGTCCCGGAAGGCCAAAGTCTTGTTCCTGGAGAGACCGGGCCCGGCATAGTTGAACTGACAATTGGTCAAGGTCTTCTTCAAAGGGTTCTTGAAGCTCAACGTGATGGTCGAGGGTTGTCCAACTACTGGTTCACCTTCAATCTATAACATCAAAAGTGGTTCGGAGACAATTGTTTTTTTATAATTAGTAAAGAACAAATCTTTAGATATATTATCGATGATTATTTATATTGTTGAATCTCATTAATATATTATGTTAAGAAATATTTATGGATTAGATTTTTAAAATCGCGCGTAAAACATCACGAAACAAAAATTACAAAAATTAAAAGTGAAAATCACTAGCCTATTCAAACCCATATTTAAAAAAGAAACTTGTAATAAAGATATATTTGATACATAATTAAAAAGTCTATTCAAAAATGTATTTAATATACGAAAAATACAAGATAAATCGGCCAAGGATCGAGCAAAGGTAGTCCTTTGCTCGTTCCTTGGCCGATTTATCTTGTATTTTTCGTTATTCAAACACGACATTGCAATTCTAATTTATTTAATATATTTGGACAATAAATTAACGTAAAATTAATTTTAATAACATAATACTACTGATACTGATTTGGACAATAAATTAACGTAAAATTAATTTTAATAACACATAATACTGATACTAATGATGAAACAATTAATAAATATTTTTGTGAATTACACATGACACCAAACCAGTGACGAGAAATCTATAATAGATACATTTTCAAGAAAATTCTACCTTATTTTCTCTGTTACTATACCTTAACAATGATATTCGGTTTTAAAACTTGAAAATCATCCTCATCTGCCCAAGTTTGTCGGGTTTCCTTGACTGTAGCGATACAGTATAGCTTCATAATGGAATACTCCACCAGCTTGTCTAGGTAATCGTTTACCGACACGGTGAGCCTTAATTGTTCCGCTATAATGAATTAAAATGAAAATTACAGTCCAAACGTAAATTACACAAACAACATAATTTATTAGAGACAATTAGTGCAAAAAAGTTAAATAACAACGCAGTAAAAAGTTACACGATTGTTTCCTTATTCGCTGTGATTATCCGATAAATCATTATCTAGGAATTTTAGAGACAAACCGAGCTAATCAATCGCTTCTCTCATTAATGATAGAACATTAGCATTTAATTGCGGCGGAAATAAAACGCGTTAAATGTTGCAAATTCAATGTTTCATGCACGTGCTAAATTTGCACGTGTCGACCTCGTCTGTCTTTAATATTGGATATAATTATAAACGTCGAGTTTTCTTGTAAATTAAAATTCTATCAAAGTAATTCGATTCAGAATTTCCTGCTTAAACTCATCGCCTTCAGTTACTTTGATTATTTGCAATTCAAGAATTATCAATGCCTTGACAATTAAACTACCGTTTTTGTTTGTCCACTTCTAATGCAGCATTAATTCATTCCCGTAGCATTAATCGACTTTCGCCGCGAGCGTTTGGAAAAAAAAAATAAGAAACAATCTGTGGAAACAATTCTTACTGGCATTTGGTTGAAGCACAAAGTCGCCGGACGCTCTCTTCACCAGGTTCGCCTTAACTCCGTTATAGTAAATGCTGCCGGCTGACAGGATAGCCTGAATGGTGCGCGTCTCGTCGGACTTGTTATTGATATTCACGGTCACGGCGAACGGCTCGCCGATGTTGACGCGTTCGAGCTCGATAAGATCGAACTCGACGTCCTCTTTGCCCGGCGACGGCAGCGAGTAGAATCTCTTCGCCATCTCGGTACTGCGCACCGCCCTGTACAAGGTCAGCCTCTCGACCTCGGTGCCTGAAAATCGGTCCAAGTTAAATTGAGCTTGCAATTAGTTGTCTAGGAAGAAGACGAAAAATATAAAATGGCTCGATAATTAATATAATATAAATTATTAATTAGTACTGCAAATAACAGAGATACGATCCAAATTTCATTAAAAATTTTCAGACACAACTTGTTTTAGAATTGACAATGAGATCCGAATTATTATGAATTTGCTCAGAATTTTAATTAAGTAATCTAACATCAACTGAAATTATTCGGTTTCATAATTACTATAATTAAATTAGAATGTATGGGAAGAGCATTTGTTTTTATTGTAGAGAATATAACTAGGAATAAAAATATCACAATGACACAAATTTTCCTTGTTACAAATTTATAATAATAAAATATGGATCGTCGCAGAATGAAGGCAATTCGCTTGCATCGCTTACCTTCCTTGGCTTTATAGAGCGACGTTATGTCCTGCCTATCTTTGTCTCCGTTAGGATCGAAGATCCATGGCGCCTTCGTTAAAATCATACGGCCGACGCTGCGAAGATAATTTGCATTTGATTTTCAGCATGCGCGAAACGTGCCATTATAGCGATCATTTTGTTACTATATACGGGATTAGAAGTTATTGCTTTGCAAGAAGAAGTCAAGAATACGGCATGACTGATTAACATGGATTATTAATTAGTACTGCAAATAATATAGAAAAAATAACGTGTAAGAATACAAGTGGAGTTTCTATCATTGGAAACTCCTATGACGAGACAGACTTGAGCAACAATAATGTGCGGAATAACAGACAATCCATTACAAAGACGTTCATCGTTGCAATTCGAACGCGAGCTAATCGACCGTCGAGTCCTGTCATATTTATGTTCGTGCTTCGCATTTGCTGGCGTAAAAATGCCTCCAGCATCGCGGAAATTATGCAAATCGCGGCGCATATCGTACGCAGTAATTCATGCTTTACGACGCGACGAAGGACGACATAATTACGACTTGCAGGATCAGCAAATAGCGTAAGGTTTGCGTTTCCGTTTTCGTCACTGGTACGCTCGTCCGACTCGGTTTTTTTTTTATGTATCTCACGCATCACATAGCTGTCATAGCTATTTCCGTCCGCAAATTCGCGCGGTTGATCAGCGAGTGTATTATCGATGAGTGAAATCATCACAAAAGAATATCGGATGAAGCATAGAAAGGTGTTCTTTGGGACCATCTCGACGGGCATTAATTATTTATTTCGCGAGTGCTTCCGAGAATGTTGATTAATCGCTTCTCGCGGTAATATTCAATAAGAAATTTAATAAAATTCGTAATTAAAAATTTCTGTATATTAAATTTAAATTTGGTTAAAAAATAATCTCATATATTGTATTATATTATATTTTTATAAATATAATATGATTTTTCAGTATAATACACAGTATATTAAAAAAAATATTAACAAGGGATTTAACTTTAGTTCGCTATTTTTCTTTTCCCTTTTTTGTCTTTGTATAAACATTTTTTATGAATATTTAGTTTTTAATATTTGATTCAACTTTAATAAATAATATCTAATATCTGCAATTATATATGTATATATTATCGTATTATAGATGTTATGATTAATATTTTAAAACTTTTCCTCAAAGAATATGACGAAGGTTTTACCTTCAATGTGAAAGTAGACTAAAACTATTTGCATACTCACTGATACTTGTTGCAATCGATCTTGGAATATCCCAGATCGCTCTCCGGGTCCTCCTTCCATCTCATCAGATCCGCGTTCACGGACGCCACCATAAAGGTCACGTCGTAGTTGTAACCGACGGCGCCCTCCTTGATGGCCTCCACCGACGCCGGTCCGCACTGATAAAAGCTGTCGGACTGTTCCTGAGGAGTGGCGTCGATGGCCTGCCAGCCGCCGTAACCCTTGGGAAGGTCTGGCCTCGCCATCCACACGTCGTTCCACACGTGGTAGTTCCAGATGGAGTCCTCGCCCATGGGGTTGTTCGGGTCGTACTCGAGCTCCTCGTTGTTCAGATCGTAGTAACGGTCCACCGACAGCGAGGCATTGGCGTCGTGGGCCGACACCAGATTCGACACCACTCTCGACGGGATTCCCAGGGCGCGACATATCGTGGTGACGACACCGGCGAAGACCCAGCACTGACCGTAATTCACCTCGTTGCCGGTCTCCCAGAATTGCTCGAGGATGGGCACGCTTCCGGTCCAGGCGGCCGGCGCGGTGCCGTCGCTGTACTCGCCGTCCCAGCGGCCAGTTATCACACCCTTATCGTCGTTAGAGTTTACCTAAAGGTAACGGAAAAGAAAATTGATACTTGATTCTTATACAGACAATTTAAATAGAAAGAAGTGCTGTTTTAGGATATTTCGAGTTTTAGTATAAGCTAAATGTCTCGATATTTTTATTGCTATATTTCTAAAATAAAAACAAGTATTTTTCCAATATATCTTAATTTATCTTAATTAGTAATTATAAAACCAAATAATTTTAATTAATGATTTAATTGATATCATATCTTGAAATTCTGAATAAATTCATAATAGTTCGGATATCATTGTCAATTCCAAATTTGAGATAAAATAAAAATATCTTACGATCCTCGAAATTGCCCGAGTCATTTTGACCGGATCGCCCCTGGAAATCGCCTTGATACCGGATCTCTCGAGCAATAATTGGCAAGCTGGTAGCACACACGCGTCGAACTGCCCAAAGACCCATTCTCTACCGCGGGAACTACCCCATGGACCAACCCATATCTTTCCCACGTCATTGAGAATGTACTCGTCGAGCAGTGTCTCGTCCTCCATGTACACCAAATCCTCTGCACCATGTTTAACGTTTAAAATTATATATTTTTTTTAACATTTTAAAATTATTTAAAAATTGAGACAATCGTAACATCTTTTAATAAAAGCATTTGCAAAGGTATATTCCTATAAATATAACGCAGAGAGCTTTAAGAATCAAAAGTTCACGAAATAAAATATTCATAGAAACAATTCGAAGGCGAAGAACCTCTAATGCCAAATAATTCATTATTAATCATCATTCAATCCTTTAATATCCATTTCAAAAATTGATGTGTCGCAGTGTCGATTGAGAAAATATTACTAAACTCAGATTTAATATCTTTAAACATTCTGCATGTTGTTGATTGTGTATATACCTTTCATCCATGGATTGAAGAGCAAGTAGATATCTTTATCGTAGTTGTAAGTATTCGGCGTCCTCCTTCTGCCGAGGGTATTGGTCTCCACGTTCAATTGCCACACTCCGACGGGACTGTCGATCGGACTTCTGACCTCGACGGACAGATCCATCCCGTTAGCGCCGACCATGCGAACGCCCCAAGCCTCCAGATCGGTCAAATAGGCCTCCCTGTTGGTGATCGTGTTCACCCCTCTGGTACCCCGCAGCACGTTCGGATTCGGACCGAAGCTGAAGAGCAGCCGGACGATGTCGGTTTCGTCCACGTACTCGCGATTGAATCGCAGTGCCATGTGGAAGGGCTGGCCTCGTCGGAGGACGGGAATCGCCGGATTCTGGTGGACCATCTCGAAGTTGAAGGTGCGATGGGTCTCGGCATTCTCCTTCTCGTACAAGTACACCGCTTCAACTATCAGCGGCTCCTCGAACGACATCTGGAGAGATCAGCGAGACAAATTAGAAAATGATCTTATTGTTAGTCGCGAGACGTAAAAGAAATTGTATTAACTTGTCAAATTAATTTAAAAAATTTACTTTTTTAAAACACAAAATGAAAGTTTTGAGAAATAGTCTGAAAATTCTTACAGTTCCTAAATTCTTTCAATCACCAGTGATATTATATAATTAATTTAAAATTTAACAACATCCACGTAAGATAGAAATTTTTGTATGTATACGTGCTAAGAGAAATAAAAGTGTGGAAGAAATAAATCCTTTTAAATGTTAGCAGTCATGTCAAAAATATTGATTTCACACGGAAGTGTGAAATATGATTCGATCGCGATTCTGCAACCTCATATGCCATGGATGGCAGCCGAGACGTGTTCTCATTGCCGGATCGCATGAGTGGTCAATATCCGTCATTGATTCACCCGAAGACATTGCGTAAAAGTTCGGAAAAAATTCCGTGCGCGTAATCCGCGTAATCGTGTCCCGCAAAGGGGCGATCGAACGATCGGACGACACCGAGCGACCTCGATCGCTGATTCATGCGATCTCCGGGCAGGTGAAATGCGGGATTCCACCTGTGTTCGCAATACTATCGCGTGAGCCGCGAGCTCACGCATTCTCGATCATCCGATGAATATCGTGGAAACCGCTCGAGTATATTATTATTATATATAGATTGTAAAAATGAAACCGGTATTTCGAGACGATTCCCCTCATTTGAATAAGCTGTGTTACGCAAGCCACACGCGCCTTGTTTTGAAAGCGAGTCGTATTCCGTGATATCGTAATCGAATAAAAAGTCTCGTTCTTTTTATGAATATATGTTTCAGCTTGATAATTTACAGTAATATCACCAGTATTGCTGTAAATAAAACAGGACCCGTAGATAAGCAACAAGATTTAAAAATTACAAATTATAAAATCTGAATGCTATTCGGAATGCTATTCAAAAGTTAGAAGCAAAATTAAATCTCTTTGATGAATAGGAAGCAAATAATTTAAGTAAAGTTTAGCAGAAAAATATTAACTCGAAACATGTAATAAATGATGTGTGTGATGCAGTTTAATTTACATATGTTTAAGAAAAACTAAATCTTTGATTAATAGAAAATAAATAAAATTTAACAGAAAAATATTAACTCAAAATTGAATAACTGACGTGTGTGATGCAGTTTAATATACATATTTAACTTATATATATTAATCAGAGAAATATACAGATATTAAAAAAATATAGTCATATAATTACATAATTAATAGATTATTAAATAGATTGTCATATAATTACACTTATATTAATTACAATTATATGACAATCTTTTTTACATGTTAATTAATAAACTAGATACACCAAGAGAAAGAGGACTTTAAAAATCGACTTAAAAAAATTTAAGTCAATAAATAATTCAATTGAAATTATTTATAATTATTTATACAAATTAATTTTGACATAGAAAATAATAATTTGGTAAATACAAACAGCACATATATATTAAGATTTAATTTATAAAATTCACAAGTTATTTATTGAACACAAATACTTGCTATCTTTTAATGTTATGACAATTATTAATTTTATCATTGCTTTTCTAATTCTATTATTGAAAAATCGTACTGTTATGCCTCGTATCCAATTTTTTAACTAACTTTATTACATAAAAGAAATAAAACTTGAACTTACCTTGTATGGTTTTGTTAAAAATCAACAGCGCGAGAAACCACGAAACGGAACAATCACGAGTGATAATCGTACAAGTTACCGCAAACGCACTGACGTTCATAAACGCGTTCTACCTCTTATATGAGATACAGCTTCCTACGGAGTAACCGCAAAGTCCCCACTACGGCAATAATCGCGTGTAGCATTCAGATCTCTGAGTAAACGTGACGATATGAAGCGTTTTAACTGGCACTGATATAAATTAATAAAAGACTTTAAAATATCAAAAAATTTTCCACAACTTTTTTAAATAACTACGATTTTAAAATTATAATAATGGGATATCCTTTTATATATGTAAAAAATTAGAATTTTTATAAGTAGATGGCTGATATAAATTTTCCAAATTTAATATAAATTCAAATAAAACTTATTACAAAAATTATTTAAATGAATTTTTTAATTATCCAATTCTTCGGCTATCCTTTTAGGCTATGTTATTTAAATCTGAAAAAATATAGATATTGCTTTGCATTCTAAGAGATACGTATGTACAATCAAAATCGTTATAAATATCGTTTAAAATATCAACAAATGTAGTTATTTTTATCCCAGTGCGCGAAAAAACTATTTTTAATGTTATTTGTTCGAAATGAAGTCTCTAATTAGACGGACGTATCTTATCGATTCACGATGCAACGGTAATTAACTCGATAAACCAAGCTCTCGTAGGTGGTGGACGTTGCGGTCAGTTTGCAGATTAACCACCGGGCGATTGGAAATGCCTGCGTAGAAGGAAATAGAATTGGAGCCGGGGTTGGAGACGAGTTGTGTGTACACGGCTTAATTGTTTTCACAAATTTATTTGCGTCCTGTGTATCGACCTACACAAATTACGTAGTAAATTATTGGTCTGTAGGTTGTTTTTGGATTCTCCCTCCTGCCACACGCGACTCCTCGCGTGCGCGCATATAATTGCGAGATCCGATAATTGCGGGCACGAATCTCTTTCCCTCTCTACGGCCGCGCAATTTCATCGTTAACAAATATTCCATCCAATTGTGCGCTTCGCGTTTAAAGGCCTCCCGCCCAATATCTTTCGCAGTTGAGCTTTGCAGAACTAAAAAAAAATGTAACACTTTCCATTTCTTCAATTTCTGCTTCGAAATAAAATAAATATATTAGGAACTTTTACACGAGAAAAATTATGGCTAGCATCTATTTTAATATCTTAATAAAATAAATTTAACGTTTATTTAATATCAGTTTTTGTAAACCTTTTTATAAAAATACATGAAAAAGCAATTACATGCGAGGAAATTTGTGCTGAATTTAACAGAAAATTACATAACATTTTGAGACTGTAAATTATATTACATTACATGTGCAGAACATTCTTATTTTACTGCTCATCACAGATAGCTGCTCGGAATTTGAAAATTTCTATCTTAGCTGTCCAGTCGAGTATACATCGAGACCTTTAATCAATGCGCGAAGCGCACGCATTCGACATCAATCTTGCAGCACATACACACTCGTATATATCCTTAAATAAACGGACCGTGTGTGTTGAGCACCCATCTAAAATGTCTAAAAACATTACGGTAAGGCAAGTAGCAGTCATATGTAAACAAGAACGAGGAATAGAACTATTGACTACGTAATACAATTAACTAACGCAACATCCGCTTCGGGTAATTTCCGGATCGGGGGATTTATCGTCTTGTGTGCTCCGCATTTTTTTTCTCTCAATCATTATTTTTCACGCTTCACCGCGATCTCCAGGATTGCGTCGTTTACGCGGGAAAAATGCCCTTCTTGCCGCCGATTCATGCGATCACTGATCTGAGATCACTCACAGAAAGTTGTTAACGTCATAGATAAAAAAGTATTTTATATATATACTTTTTTTAATATAAAATAAAAGATTATAGAAATAAGTTGTATAAGGAATTTGTAAAATTTGCGTACCTATCTCTTCAAATTAAAATCCGATTTATAATGTTAGTAAATTTCCTATAAAATTTTACTAATTTTTTTTTAATTTAACAATTCTTTACAGGGAAAATTTCTGTCTGTTATTAATATTAACATGGCAAATAATTAAAATTAATATTAATATGGAAATCTTTTCAATTAAAAGAAATTATCTGTATGGAAAAACATAATTATTACACAAAGATAACTTCCGTTAAAAATTCAATTTTCTGCGGATGGTGCACAAATCGATGACGCGATGAACTTCGTAATGTCGCTTCGTTGTGTGAAACGAGTATAATTCGGCATAACTCCTCTAGGTAGCAAGTTTTTTTTAACATTGACTCCCTAATGTGGCGGAAAAGCTGTACGAGCGCACGACAATCGACAGGAACAAGCGTTATAAGGATATTTCACTCAATTTTTTTTTACCAAATTTGGCACAGGACTTGGCTGTCGCGTTTATTGGCTACGATCCTCGCAAAACGACTCAATGTCCTTTCATAATTTTTCTCACAACCGATCGCCGTTGATTTCCGACATGAGATTGCTCCAGCAGATTCAATTTATCTCACCACGTAAAAAGAAACTGATAAAAGGTGCAGTAAGAATAATAAAAATCTTATTTTCTTTATTCTTCTTGTTCGTTAGATGTCAAACGTTCAAACGCGCATTGCGCTATTTGTCTATCAAATTTGTCAAAATTTAACAATCTGATTGACAATCTTTAAATTAATATTCATTCTTATGAATTAAATATTAAATAATATTCGAAAATATACTTTTATTTATTTAATTAACTGTGTCTGAAAAGGAGCAATCTCAGTAATACGCGATAACGGAACGAATAAAAGTAGCCAACAAATTTATTATTTCTCGAAATTGAAATTCTAATTTTAATTTGCGAAAAAATAAGATTTCAATTTCACAAAGTATATTGGCTCATCTTAATCTTTTCTCTTCTCGCACAGAGTTCATCTGCAGTTCAATTCTTGCCGAGGCATCGGAAACGGCTAATCGGTAATCCACCTTATTACCCGGATGACAAAACGAGTCTCAAAACTGATCTCCCCGCGTATGCGATGTGGATCGAAAGATCGTGTTTATAAATTCCAGGGGTTTCATCATGTTATGACAATGTACAACAGGTTCAAAGGGACTCGCAAAGTCCCCGTTCGAAAGGTTCTCTTGGCAAAGCGATTTACAGGTCTGCTTCTCGTGCGTGTGCTCGCGTCCTCATGGCGCGTGTATCGGAACGCTTCCGCCTCTTAACGAGTCGTTAGTAACGACACGTGCCGGTCGATACGTTTCTATTTACGGCCAAAACTTATCTCGCGTACGTTTTTTCTAATCTCGCGCCGACGGAATATACGTCGCGCGCCGCGTCGCGCGTTTCGAGTTCCGCGACACGCGAAAGGTGTGTGTCTATTGCTTGCCCTATCCCACGTTTTCGCGTTATTTTTTTTCTTTTGTTTCGAGAAGAAATCAGAAGAGAATAAACAAGTTTTCCCTCAAATCGATCGCGTTCGATCGTGTCGCGTTATCGTCGCCTCGGTTTCTTGCGCGAGTACAATAAGGTATTTTAACGTAGTCAATCGATTATAATAGAGATGTAACGATAATGGTAATGTCCGATAAAAGAAGAAAGATCGAAACTTAAAGTAATACCGAAAAAACCGCCGCGTTTGTATATCCCATCAGAGTATAATTAAATATTAAACAATATACCAACATATACGTATAGAAAACAACTAGGGATTATCCTTTCTTCCTTTCTTTTTCTCTCTGTCTCTCTCGCTCTCTTTACATTCTTATAAATATAGCTAATTAATATAACAGCACTTCTCTTAGATCCCATATTAAGCTCGAAGGGAGAACGATCGCGCTTATCAATTGCTTCCTTCTCTCTCTCTCTCTCTCTCTTTTTTCAAGGCAAAAAAAGAACCATAAAAACGATCTCCTCACTGCGTCGCATATCATATATTACACAAACCGCACTTCCCGTATTTTCTCTTTTTCTCCTTAGAGATAACGCTTCTCTTCTCTGTTTCGCGGAAACGAAGATTCGCGCAGTGAGGAGCTAAGCGCGATCGTGCCTCCGCGAGCACGCATTCACGATCCTATTATCACAGTCAACCTCCATCCTTTCTCGTCTCTCTCATATTATAACCGCAAATGTAATAACGCCTCTTTTTATTTTTTTCTTTAAACATTCCTCGTTCCGTCGAAAAGTGCAACGATTTCGGAATTTTTGTTCGAGTAAATGAAATATTTCGCGAGCACACACTTTCGCGCGCGAGCCGTTCGTCTCGAAAACGGCAAGAGGCAAGCTTAAAAACGTGGCAACTCAATTCATTTATGCCTGAAATTCTCTACTCAGAATTTAATCGAATCAACATATAACGGGCAAATTTAACAAATATAATTTTCTTATCGATATAATATATATAACAAAAATTCAACTAGAAATAATTTTCAAGATACAATTTTCCCCAAAGAAACTTCTCAAGGTTTCGAATAAATAATTAAAAAATTATATAAAAAAAACATTTAATCGTAAATAACGTTACGTCCTTCAGATCTTCGACTTCTTATACGTTGAATATGTGTATTGGAAGTAACATCACTAATAAATAAAATTAAAATTATATCAGTTAAATATTTCGTAAAATAAATTATTAACGATCAATTAAGCATAAATGAATTAAGACACGACAAATCGATGCTGTTATATGGTTCAAGATTCTCAAAACTTTGACAAAATTTGTCAAAATAGAGTCACTTTCGGTACGGACGGCTCGCGTGATCGAATCCAGAAGATACACGCCGTCGTTAACTTCCAGAAACAATCAAAAGCATGTAGTAGGAACAGTCACGCACAAGAGAATGCGAATTCTCTCTCTCTCTCACTCTTTCTCTCTCTTTCTCTCACTCTTTCTCCCTTTCTGTCATATCTCCAGATCCATCCGAGCTGCGCAATTTAACCCTTTCAGTACCGAACTAAATATTTAGGGACGTTAGCACCTTCCTCATGTTAATTCAATGCAACTTTACAGCCGGCGTTCAACAATGTGTGTGTGTCGTTCGCTTAACTTTAACTGTCATTAAGTAAATATTTCCCTTACGTTCGTCGCGGGATACAAATATGCAAACGCTAACATTTAGGCAAGAGTTCTTCGTTCTTTCTAACTCTCATTTTAAATTTGTCAAAAACCCCTCTTCTAATTGTAATTGTATTATAAGTTTAGTTTACGCTACGATCTGTAAAGACATCGAGACTAATAACTTAAATAATGTCACATTAAAATTATCAACGAATAACTACGAAATCGCCGGTTTTCTGCCATTAGAAAAGCTTTTAAGAAACCGAAAACTTTTGCTAATTGAAGAACCGATTTTTTGCGGAATAACAGAGAAGAATTCACATGTATACTTTTTAAGTGTCCGACCGGTCTGATCTTCAAACCTTAAAGAAACCGTGAGTGTTACTTTTGTTACCCTGCCCTTCAATAATATTCAACGCACTTACATCTGTATTTTTCGTTGCTTAACGAATAACTGATAAATCGCCACGAATCGCGTCTCCAACAGTAGCGTTTCATCGAAATTTTGTCGAGTGTCACAGCGGAGAAAATTAAACCCTGCCGTCTCGTCGGGATTCCGTGAGACACCGAGAACCGTGGCGCGGGACACATCGTAGGGATACTCTTATTAAATTTTTTTATATATCGTATTTATTAAATGCAGGTCTTAAGGCAGGTACTGAAAGAGCTAATGGCGGATAAGGAAAGCGAACTCCTCTATTATATCTCGGTTAGATACTTCATCCGCGTGAAGTATCGTCGCTCGGCGCGCGTGTACCGCGCGCGCTACATCGAGATAGGATTTAACCCAATTGTGATGCTATATAATATAGTGTCGATCTTGTTAATATATTTTTCACATATACATATATATATATATATATATATATATATATATATATATATAGCAGCGGTGATAGAGTAGTGCCCGACTAGCTCGAAATACATAATTAACGAACAAGTAATCGCGAAGTATGCGTTGTTAATCTATATCTGTATGTATAGATACTTTATATGTATATAACTGTATATATATATACTATATGTTATATATACATATACCATTATTTTTGTTCATTTCCGTTTCTTTCGACGTACCCCGGGGCTTAGGTACACGCGTGACTAGTTCAAAAAGAAAACAAAAAAAAAAAGAAAAGAGCGGAAATCCTCATCGCCCGCCGCGCACACTTACCTTCGCTCTCTCGATCTCTTTCTTTCTTTCTCTCTCCATATGTATGTAAGTGTTTGTATACGTGTATGTTTGAGGTATCCTTATGCATATGTGTATGTTTCCGATAAAACAGTCTATAATCTGCAAAGCGCGCGGGCGCTCGAGGTTCGCTACAAAGGTTCGCTCTCGAGAAAAGAGCACGCGGCTCGGGAGACGCGCCCGAGGTGTGTCTCTCGTTTTACGAGACCGGCTGCCTCTCTCTCTAAACTCCCCCGCGGAAGTTCTAGGTACTAGAACGACAATATATAACGCCTATTTCGAGGAGGGACGATCTACGCGCGTCGATCTGCGCGCGTGGGATCGACCCTCGCGCGCGCGCGCGCGCGCGCGCGTCGCCGACGAGTAGCGCGCGGCGACGGCGAAGACAATGACGACGACGACGGCGGATAAGCCGTCGGTGTTCACGAGGCGATGCTACGTGCGCCGGCGGCGGCGGAGCGACGACGGCGGGGCCTCGTGTCGTTTTTTGGCTGAACTGAATCGCGTCCCATTGTCGAGGGCTAACTCGGCGCGTCTTCCGGTTCCACCACGCCGCCGGTCGGCCCCGTCTGGCTACCGCCCTGGCTCATCGTCACAAACTGCTGCGATAGCGTCTGCAGACTCTGCCGCACCTACGGAACAAACATATCCCCTCGTATCAAGTGAACGCGACACAGTTAGTCACTTAAGACTATTCGATTAGACGTCGTCATCGACCGCACCTGGTCCACTTTGATTATCTGTGATTTTCAAGTATCGCGATAAAATCCGAACATATGGCATATTACGTAATAAAAATTACTCATAAAGTTATCTATTTTAAAAAAAGTATAAGGAGAAATGTACGCTTACATAATTACAAGCAGGATGTGTGTTTTGGAAAAATAAAAATTATTATGTCTTAAAATCAATTTTATTCAATAATTACTGAATCAATGTAAATAAATTTAAAAATTTATTAATACTAAATTCACTATATATTATTATAGTACACGGTATTTCCAGTTTGTAATAATTTTTAATTTTAATTTTTTTAAGTATAAAAATTGTGTATCTTTAATTCAATTTAATAAATCTTATTTAATTTAATATAGCTATTTAATTTATACACATTAAAATAAAAAATATAATATTTATCGAGATCAAACAGACTTCATCGCAACAATGCCATTATTTAAAATTACACTTTATTATCCGGGTAGTACAACGTGTATCGGATCGATCATGTGTTTACAAATGGGACAATTTACCTTCACTATTTGATCCAGATTCGTATTGAGATAGTGCAACAGCCGATCCTGCGTGAAGCGTTCCGGCGAAACGAGGGGATGGTTTAAATAAGCGGTGTGCAGCCTGTCAATGCGCATCATCATTAGAGCCGCCGATACGTAAAGAACCGCCAAGAGAGCCACCAGTATCGCTATCACCATGCCAGGCTTCAATCCGCTGGTAAACAGTGATCCCAGCCTGTCGGATTTGCTCGGTGTCAGCGTCTTTGTTAATACTGCTGTCTCCAGCCTTAAAAAGAAAGACGAAAGGTGAAAATAAGCGGAATGAGCGAAAATAATTGCGAAAACAATTTCAATGTATCATATTTCGCAAACCAATGAACTAAGAATGAATTCAATAATAATATCCAGATCTTTAATATCGTTTTTGCGATTTTACAAAGGGCTATTTTACTTTATTTTATATTTCATTATTGCGATTTTACGAAGGACTATTTTACTTTGTTTTACATTCTGCGTTATGATTTTTGATTTCAGAAGTAAATAAGGCAGATGGGAATCGGCGCAGTTATTAAAACGTTTAACATCTTTTTACGTTAGAATAAAGTTTATGTAAAAATTGTAAATTGCGTACTAATAACTGCGCGCCTATTTCCATCTGCCTTATTTACTTTTGTATTTTTAATTCTGGGAATCTTGTTAGAATTTTATTATTTTTAATTTCATTTTTGTTAAATTTTCAATTGATTCATCTAAAGTAATTTCAATTAATTAACTAATCAATCTACCTTATTTATTTCTGTATTTTTAATTCTGAGAATCTTGTTAAGATTTTACTATTTTTAATTTCATTTTTATTAAATTTTCGATTGATTCATCTGAAGTAATTACAATTAATTAAACTAATCGAACGTCTCCTCTTTCATTTACATGCTTCCTCTTTTAATTTATACGGATACGGAAACAGCCAAAAGCTCACCTGGCGGGTGGCAAACTCGGCCTGCTGAGGGTCACGGAGGCGCCGTCGGTGTCCGTGCAGACGACCGGCGATCTGGTGGCCGCCAGGAGATCGATACCGCTCTCGGACATACTCGACTCGTCCTCCTCGGGGTTCACCCCCTCGGAGTCGTCGACGAGCAGCGTGTCCGGCGGGAGGAGCTTGGTGTCGCTGTCGAGCACCGGCAACTCGTCCGCCGTCGTCCGCGGCTCCATCGCCGCGTCCCACACCTGCTTCATCAGCTTGTAGGTAGAGTCGCGCGAGAGCAGCGAGCAGAAGACGTGGCGCTCCTCCTCGGTGGCGACCGCCACCGCGTTCGGTATGATCCGCGCGGTCTTCTCCTTGCTGATCTTCAGCACCGAGACCGTCGGTATCAGCAGCTTCGTCACGTAGCCGAACACGTTGCTGTAGAAGGCGAAGTAGTTGGGCGTAATGTACAGGTGGCCCTGCAGCAGGATGTCGCCCACCAGCGCGCAGCTGTAGTAATTCAGCACGCGCTCGTCCTCCGCCACCTGATAGCGAAATTTCGAAGACTACGCATTAGGTTGGTACTGCCCTTTCGCCGACGCGGCGTGTTATTATTATTATTATTATTACCATCACCACGTAATAATAATAATTTATTGTGTATATCCAAGTAGTTATTGTATTACAGAAATCAGTTAGATGAACACAAAAGCTAGAGCGTACGACGATCTTTGTTTATGGCTCGATTTCATAATTCGCGATTAGCTTGATTTAACCGAAGTTCAACTCGCTTTACCTTTTTCTAATCTAAGAATTAGAAAAAGATAAACAGTAATAGTTACACCGAGATTAATGTTAATCTTACATTTGTGAAATCGGGCTTAAAGGGATCCATCACCCTGTTCGCGCGAATCTTGTCGAGCTTTGTAAAATATTATTGGCTGAATGATAAAACGAGCTCGAAAATGCGACGTACCATCGATTCACGGACGGAAGATGCAATGCAAAGCGATCGTAAAAATTAATATACTAAAATAAAGCCAGATTTCATTTTTCTAAAGTGTTTTTTTCTAGCATTTAGGTATTCATAGTCGGCTCTTGTTTAGGGTTGCCGTATCAAAATTTTCAAAACTAGAACTTACAAGTCAAAAACCCCGAACATTTCGTGTACAACTGCCGACGCATGTAAAAAAAAGCGTGTGTAGTAGCGGCTCGTTTCTGAATAATTACGCGGGAGGAATCAAAATATTTAGAAGATTCTTTGAAAACCCTAAAATCCCGGACGCTCACAACTATGCCGGACGTCTTCGGAAAATCCCCCTGGACGATCCCAGACGCCCCGAAAAAAGAGGATGGGAAAAGGGGGACAGATGGCAACCCTACTTTTGCTTCAAGATTGCCTTAATTAAGATGCTAATACGCTCTGCGATTGGCTTATGGTATCTTAAGACTGTACTTAAAACCGTCTTAAAATATGAGAATCGGTTATGAATACCGTGTTTCCCAGATCCTTTTCTGGGAAACACGATTGATTTATCACGCTCTCAGGGCAGATTTCGTTTCGAGTTACTGGATACTTCTCGCTTAACATTCGAACTTGTGACATTTTCACCCCGAAGATGGCTCCGTTTCAAGTCGACACACGACACTGTGTTTATTAAATTTCCGACAAACGTCAAGAGCTCTCTCTTTCACACCACGCTGATATTCATTAGCAATTTCTCTCGCGCAGCACTATGCAATATACAACGTACTATATTGTATTCGACAATCAATCGCCGATCGAGATAAATCGCGAGGCTACAAATCCCGAATGTATTTTAATAATTTATGCAGTCCGTCAATCGAACACCTGGGTCCCTTGCCTCGTGGTGAAGTTCACCGACGGGCCGAGAGGGGGAAGTATTTTTATACTGCACGCTGCCGAGGCGTGCATTGACGTACGCGTTTATGTCCTACGTCCGGAGAAGTTAAAACACCAGCCTGCCGGATGAAGATGAGGTAAGTATCGCAACACGATAATGGATCCGAGTTAAGCAAGTGTTACTGCTGGCAAGGGCAACGTCTGCGTGGGGGACCGTTCTCTTCTAGCCCCTCACGTACTGTCACTCGTAAGCGATTATCATCATTCGTGGACCCTAAGAAATGTACCACTTAAATGTATCTCTATACCTGAGTGAAGTGCCTATGGAATTTCTTCTGCCTCGCGCTGCTGGTAGACGTCGGCGACCTCGACGAGGATCTGCTAACCTTTGCTGGAGTTTGCGCGCCGCCAGCTGCCATCGATGGTGTACTCCTACTCAGTGGCTTCGAAAGGTGACTGAAAAAATAAAAAAAATAGAAATGTAAGAGGACCTTTACTGATTAGACATCACGCGGGAATGTATATTTATCTTCTACGTGCATATCTAATAAAAATTCGTTATTATCTAAGTGATCAAAATTCGTTATCAATATCGTTGTTTAAGTTATCAAAATTGGAAATAATTGGTCTAAAAGTTAGATATTATTTAAAATACGAAATAATCATTGAAATAAAATATTAAAAACACTGGATAATAATATTATAATGATTACTTTATCATGTAGTTGTAAAAAGTAATATAATTATTGAGACAGTATCATACTATTAAAATAAACTTCTTTATGTAACAATAATCACAATTATAAATATAATTTTTGAAATGATATTTATAATTAAGAAGAGATAACGATTATCTTTTATGGAAACTCAGACTAATCAGAAATTCAGAGGCACATTTCTCTGTGACATACATTCCTATATATACTTAATAAAATTAGATCAACTTGTTCGTGCGGGAAATTCCCACGACCCTAAAAGGTCAGTTAAAACACTTCCCTTTCCGCTGACGCTATCGTGTTTCGTTTTACGTCGTCACATTAAGAATACTCCCTCGAAGATACATTATCAGGTAAGGAGACCCTATGTATAAGTATATCTCGTCTTATATATCCGAATTTAATATGGGCATCATCAACAATGTAATCTAACTAGAAATTATTTTCTACAACACCCGGATGGCGAGTCCGGAAAAGGATATCGAGCGTTTGAAAGACCGTCCAGGCCAGGGGAACGGAGGACATGTTATCTCTTAGGGTTATCTCTTTAAAGCATTATCGAAACCGTGACCGACGATGCTGTTTGCATCATTTTGACGCGTTGCGTAATAATCGTTTTTGTGTACTATGCCACTAACTAACGTTCGTTTAACGCGCAGAATATTTGAGATTAAAAGGCCTTCACTTTTACGATAATTAAATGCGATAATTAATTGCGACGAACTTTGAAGACTTAAGACACTTCGCTTTTAAGATTAATATGCAATTAACTTTATCTTCAATTCAATTTGACGCTCAAAAACTGTCGAGAGACATTTAGCAGTCCTGAATTCTTGAATGAATTAAATTAAATCAAATTAAAACAAAAGAAAATTTCGATTTGAACTTTCGCTCGAGGAAGCAAGATCACTTAAGCGATTCTTATCACTTATATTGTATCTTATCCTCATCTATTCAGGTTTAAAAAATAACGCCGCCAGTAGAAATTCTACAACTTCTACGTATCTCATCGCTACATTGCAAGCAAATAGGCAAACGCAAAAAATAAATAAATATTGCTAACTTGTTGGAGTGGCTCCTTAAGGAGGTCGTCCTGGTTCTTTTCATAATGGCGATACTCCACAAATCGTTGCCGAACATTTCCACCCGCGTTCCCATTATCGAATTTTTTGTTGCACCTGCACGTTTCTCACGTTTCAAAAATTGAAACAATCTCATGCGTGCGCCCTTTTATCGGTACTGTTTGCAGTTCGCGTGCAACGTATCACTGTCACAGTTTCATACTGGACGGTGAAAAACTCACGTATCGTAGAAATATACAAAAGCCTTCACCTCTGGAAAATTCCGACACAAGCGGCAGATATAAAATAATTTAATAAATATAAAAAATTCCATAAAAGAATCTTTTTTTTATTTTTTTTAACAAACGAAGATTATTTTCTATTCAAATTGTTTCTTCCAACTGTTGAAGAAAATGTACAAAAAATATTATATGTATCACACGCGCGTTTATCAAATTACTGCGTCAAAAATCGAAATTTCTCGTTAAATAAAATAGAATTTCAAAAACTCCATTCACTTTCCGCGAATTTAATAAATAAAATATTTAAATAAAATTGAAATGATGTTTAAAATAAAGTTAGTAAATAATTCATAGAATTTTACCTTCGTATAAAACCTGCCTGTCTAAACTCACATATTCTTCTAGAACTCGAGTACTCGAGCTCAGAGAGAATATCTAAAGATATAAAAAATATAAATAACTGAATAATCCTCTCTTTGTTACGATAAAATTAGTTGTAGCAAGATTTTCATTTTTTCTTTATTACAGTATCGCATTGCAGAAATTCGAAAACATTCGAACGACTCGATCCGAATCACCGAAATCATCTCCGCGACACGCGTTGCGTATCGCGCGATTTTCGCACGTGAAGACGACCCGTCCGACGCGCGGCGTAACGCGTAACTGGTTGCACGATCCGCTGGCTTAACAATCCGCTGCCGGCGATGATGATAACACGTGGGAGACTGTCTGGAGCGGCCGTTGTGCCATCTCGCTCGATTAAGAGACTCGCCGGAACCGAAATGACAAAAATATATATATACACTCACATAACGATAACCGGCGGATGCAATAAGACAAATTCGATGATAATGAGCAACGTGATAAAAAAAACTTACAGATAGGAATTCGGAGTGCGATAAGATTCGCGCAAAAGCCTAATGTCGACGTCGATCGGGATACCGAGGCGCGTGAGTTTTTTGCGTAATTCGGCACATTAATTCCGCGAAGACGTTCGCGATCATCGAGGCGGGGCAGAAAGCGAACGGAAAAATTTCCCCCCTTCCGGCACATCCACATCCGTTTCGATAAGTACCGCGACGTATTGCACGTCACCTTCTTGTCACTTATATGTTATTTGTTTGATGGGATTATCTTTCGCGATATACAGTCCATACATATGCCACTGTATACAAAACGATTATAATCGTTATCGGAGCAGCTGTCAGAACTGACTTCTGATGGTAATCCTTTTTTTTTTGTTAGAGTAATTTCCACGTGATGAGAAATATATAGCTTTTATATGGTTTATCAGATGAATATTAACAAGAACTTAGTATAAAAAGGATCGTAAACGTATTTATCTATTGTAATATCTGCATCTTTCGTCAGAGTTAAGATATCTTTATAAAAAAGCGGATGCGCAGATCTCTTTAATTAAAAGGTCTCGAGTTGAGCCGAACATGGTAAACACTCAAAGAACATTGTATAAATCACTTTTAATGGAAAAGATTACGTTTATACAATATACAAAAAATTCATTACAGCAAACGAGAGATTTTACGAAAGAGAATTTTCTATATTTTATGAAGAACTTTTCACGAAGAATTTTTAAGAGACTTCATTATTTATTTTCCGTAGAGGAAGTTTCTTTTAATTTTGTTTAAGAGGAGATGCAAAAATATTATCGAAGATCGAGGAACGAGATACTTACACTTCGAGTATCAAGACGGTTCAGTCACAAAAGGCAATTTCACCCAGATAATACGCACGACGTCACGCTTTGTACTGTAATAACCGTTTACGGACGGCATGCATGAAACGGCTATTGTAAGAATGGCCGCAAAACATTCCCGTACGATTGAAATGTTTCAAAATACAATTCTATTCTCGACGTGATTTAACGCTACAAGTGCTGTCTAACTCCGCGGCATTTAGCGTTAAACATGCAATGAGAATATCGATTTATATCGATGCCCTGCTCATAAATCGCTCGTTTTTAATGTCCGGGAGACGTAAGTCTGATTTTGCAAGTCTTGTTTCATTTATAAAATCTACCTTCGCGGCATTTAGCGTTAAGCACGCGATAAGAATATCGACCTATATCGACGCCCTGCAAATCGCTCGTTTTCAATATCCGAGAGACGCAAGTCTGATTTTGCAAGTCTTGCCTCATATAAAAAAAATCGTATTTACCGATCCGTTTTTTATAAAAATTTCATTAAAAAATTAAGTGTGTTATGTAACGAAACACAATTTGAAATTTGTAACGTATGATTGAAGACCCGCTTGAACTTGTGTTATTTTCTAAATATGCAGCTGATTTGTCCAATTAATAATTAATTTAATCTAAGTCATTGATAATAATAATCTTAGTTCGCATATGTAAGAAGGAACTTATCGCAATCATTAGCTTCTCCTCGTATGTTGCTCCTTACTCTTTAAAAGTGAATCAATGGAATTATCCTATTGATTTGCACTGTATTTTCCAGTTGCATATTTAGAACTGTGACAATCAATGAGTATATTTCAATGTTCTTTCAGTGATAATATACTGATTCGAACAGTGAATAGCACAGTGAAAGATCGTGAATTTCAGTTCTTAAAACTGTTTGACAGTGAAACTTACTTTCATTGATATTCACTGTTTAAATCATTATGTTATCACTAAAAGAACATTGAAATACTCACTGTTTATCACATCATTTGTCACTGGAAAATTATACACTGAAATCAGTGATTCGCTTTTAAAAAGTAATAAATTATTTATTCTTCAGTAAAATAATTCGTTCGAATACATTTGAGATTAGAAAAAAAGGTCTGACACGCTTGACACGCAATAAAAAAAAAGTTTGATTAATGGCATGTGTTTCTATAAAATGATTTCCTATGAGTCTGCTGTTGCAGCCACGCCGGCAAAAGAGTGGAGGTGGCCCGACTTCGCCAGCATTATCACGGTGGCAAGTGTGCCGTAATAATATTTGAATGCCATAAATAAGTGTAGTTTAATAGCGGCATTCGATAATCGTGATGTGGCAGCTAGTAGGAACGTATTTCCCAGCACACAGTCAGACAAGTTAATTATACGATGCCTTATCACGAAAGCACATAACATCTTTTTATCACGATCCCTGTCTTTGTCCCCCTTTCCCCTCCCGCGCTCGTCTGCAATTCGTGTGCAGGTGTGACATTATCACCGTTGCCTGTTGATAATTTCCAAGAAGCCCGATAAGCGATTTCACGCGCGAATCATCTGACTTGCGGAAGCAAAGTCGAAAATAAAAACGATATTAATAACGTTAATAAAATGCTCGCGCAGATATATGCAAAATTATTTCGCGTTCTCACGTATCGTCAGCAGAACATTGCTCAATTTCCTGCTTGCCGCGCACATATGTATATAATGATAAAACGTAAGCTCTCTTTTTTTAAAGATTAAATAATGTCAAAAATATTCAGACACCCAAAAAAATATTCTATTCTTTAGTGGTTTCTTCTCCCTCTTAATTCCAGATTTTCCTCTGACATTTGGTCTCAAGAAAATATTCTAAACCGTAGAAGAATATCATATACACCGCGCGTAATTCTTGATCATCATTTTTTATTAGAGAAAATGCTAAGAAGAATTCCCCACTTATAACTAGAATATTTTTTTGTGTAATACTTGCAAATAAATTAAAATATTAAAATCCGTAAACCGTCACACACATTTGATTTACATGTTGTATCTACAACCCTTTCGCCTGAAATAAATATTTGTTTCGACCGAGTCTCTCCGTATCTTTTAATTTCCGATTCATTTATTAAGAAACTGTGATATACGATATTACATGCACGCGTCGATTTTTTAAGACAATATGTTACGCAGAAAAATATTGAAATGTCAAAGCGGTATCGGCACTTCGTTTCGCGTAAAAAACGTGGGTTCTCGTCAGGTTCACGGCCATAAATCCCTGCGTTATAGCAAGTGCTTATACCGACGCGGCATCGAGCGAGCTTTATGACAGAACGAAAGGGGGGGGGGGAGGAGAGGGAGGACCTCACCTGTCGTTACATCTCAAGGCCGCGTGACTGGGGCTTCTCGGAGGCTGAGGATAGCTGGCGCCGGCCACGGTGAGCTGGGACCCGCTGATCGATTGTTGGCCCCCGGCATGCGGTGCATCGGGGGCAGCTTGCAGGGGCGTGCTAGGTGCCGAGCGCGCGCCTATGGACCCCGCAGACCTGTGAACAAGGCAGAAAATGGGATTTGAGAGAAAGGGACTTGGAGGCGGAAGGCTGCACCTTAATTTGCGCAATCTTTGATTTCCTATTTTATGTCTATTATTTTTCTTACCTATACACGGAGAGAATTTTCTTTTAAAATTTACCCTGAAAATCATGTTAATTGTAAGACAATATAGTATTTAGGTAAATTTTACTGTGCACTACAATAAATTTTACTGCGAAATCTTATTGTAATGCACAGTAAAATTTGCCTAAATACCATATTGTCCCATAATTAACATAATTTGCAGGGTAAATTTAAAAAAAATTCTCTCCGTGTATGTACTTACCATGTGTGTTTATTTATATTAGCATAATTTTTTTAAAGTTCTTTTAGTTTTTTCGAGTTTCTCTCGCGTATATCAATTAGGATGAAACGATTTAATGAATCGGCTTTATCGAGTAATAAGAGTAATTTTATCGAAACAATTTACACGACATAGCGCCATTTCCGGCAAATGAATACAGCAATTAATGCAGGGTCTGAAAATCGATCAAAAACAATATTGCTCATATTTTGTAACTTCATTTTGCCAAAATGCAGAATAAAAATGTATCGTCAGATATCGCCAGAGAGGGTTTAACAAACCAACTCCGATATCAGATTGATTCGATCAAAAACACACGCTGATAGAAAGATTTATATGTCAATTTCGCAACGTCCAAATATTATATTATACAGTATTATACGGTATGGACTATATTTACGATAAGCCTAAATGATTTTTTCTACGACGTGTTCGCGCGCAGACAAGAATTCCAAATAATCTCTCTCTTTAAACTAACTCCAAAGTCTCCGTATCGACTTGATCTTCAATTTGGATAAAATATCGGTGACATTTATCTTCCACGCGAGGGTATCACTGTCGCAAATCACGTACCTTGCCCTGGTGAGCGGACGGGACGAGAGGCAAAGGTTGATCAGCGCCTGGGTTTCAAGCTCCATCATCGTGGAAGGACCAACGTTGCACGAAATATTATCGTTTATATTATCTCCGGGATAATATCTGCGAGAATTTCCTTTTCCGAGACGTGAGGAAACTGTATTGCGCCTTGTGTAGCTGCAACGCCGGTTACCAGTCGATCGGCAATCGACGCGAGCTCCGCGGTCAATCTGCGTGGCTATCCAAACGGACATCGGCAGATGTCAAAGTGATTCCCGGTAAAAATTACTGTTATCGAAAATCGCACGCCGACGGTGGGATGATTCACCGTTGTATTTAACTATATGGTTGTGATTTTCCCTCGAACGATGATTAACGACGTGGTTTATGCACTACCATCACAACTGCTTTTGCACGACGCGATAGCGGATTGAATTTTATCCGACTTTTATCTGCAGGCTTATCGCTTCTAAGTCGGGTAATACCGGAGCGCGATCGTGGAAACTGCCGTAGTAGTGGGTTAGCGATTAATACAAAGAGCACAGAGGGGAAACGGGAGTAGCGAGACTAATATTATCGCGCGCGAGTCGAGTTTAGAGACGAGGTTGGTCGCTCGCCAACTTCGGACGCGAGAAGAGAAGAAGATAAAGACGCGAGCAATGAGATCGGAGGCGGGAGAAAATCGAAGAGAAAAGGGAAAAAAGGGGGAGGCTGGTGCCGGGGTGAGAAGGGGGGTATAAAGCCAAACGGTGCGAAAGGACGAGGCACGCGGTGACTAACGAACCAGTTTCGGTCCTCTCTTCGTGCCGCGCGCGCGAGAATAACCACACCTCACCACACGGGTTCAACGAGCCAGGTTGCCTTTAACAAGCGCACGGCGCGGCACAGCCGTGACCGCGGCAATGCACAATGAGGCGAGAGCGCGAACGAGCGCGAGCGCGCGGAAAAAGAGGGCTCCCGCCGGCCCTCGCGCCGCGAAACGGAACGACCACGCAAAGCTGCAGGCACCGCGCGCGGCGGACTCCGCTCCGTTCAGTAGAAACCACGTTGGTATCGGTACTTCCTGAAGATCCCTCTCTTTGATCGCCGCCACTTAGCGCCCATCGATCGCGCAGCCAGCCTCGCGAGGAAGATGATGCTCATCTCGAAGCGGCGATTTCCTCGGCGAAGAGAGAGAGAGAGAGAGAGAGAGATTGCGGGCTATCCGCCACTTGTACGAGAGCGATCGTACCGAACCAGCCGGTACACGATCCTCTCGTCGAAGAAGAGAGTTCAGGGGAGTCGGCAAGTCGATGAAGATGAGACGGGAAAAATTGCGAGGCGGAGCGCAAGAAATGTTGAGAAACGGAGGGGTTGATGAGAAACGATAACCACGCAGCGAGTCCGGTACTCCACGGGCCAGCCGGGATATCAGACTGGCCGCGGTTGGACACGTCTGAAGTTTCTTACCCACCACCGGCCGACCTCGCGACCTTCTTCATAATTGACAAATCCGCGAATATACACCTGTCTATGCATTGCGGGAGATCTATAGCTCGCACGCTCTAGACTACTTGTACTTGAGTTACATTTAGGTGCAATGCACAAGTCAGATCGAATATCGCGTACGTTAATGAGTACGCGAGGACGGAAACTTACGCTGGAATAGATCGAAATTCACCGATGGCGAATCGCTCACGCTATTAACGGTATAAGCGTTACGATTTGTTAAAAAATAGATACTGTCTTCAGGGAACTGTATCTGCAAAAGCTGTCGCTGCAGATTCACGTCTTATAAGTTAAAGCGGAACAAAATGAGCAAATTCAATTCTAATCAATATATTTATATATTACACTTATATGTCGCCAGAGAGAAAAATTTGTTTTGTTAGTCTTTTTTTAATAATGTCCCGTTAAAGAAAAATTAAGTTAGCAAGACAATAATATATGTACATATATATCGCAGATTCGTTTCTAAAACGATTAAAACTAAAAAATTTGTCTGCGTATAAATATCATTATATCAGCAATATTATGTGCAAAATATTGGAAGAAATTAATTTATATCGAGAAAACATTTTATCATATTTAAAGTTAACGAAAAGAAATAATTACTTTAAAAATCAAAGCTGTTTGATACATTTGTAAATTATGCAAATAATATATGTGTAAATTACACGTAATTGTGTAATATACATAAAAAAAAATAATCTAAATGTATCATGTTTTACGCATATAATGAGAAAACAACGAACACTGTTGTAATTATAATTGTGATAAAGTATAAAAAAAAGGTACATGAAACTTTACGCCAGCTTGCGTCACTTCGGATGTTTGAATAAACATCATTCCGGCAAATTGATGCATGCGGAAACACACGCTCGAGTTTCCCGAGCAGCGCGCGACACTTCGCTGAACCGAGAGGAAGCGCAAAATATTTGGCCGTTAAGTTAAGCGCCGATGACTTCGGACTGGAAAAGAATATATATTGCGCTCTCGTCGTCGGCCCGCACATTCTCTGGCAGTCGCCCAAAAGGTCGAAACGCTCTTTCTCTCGTGCTGCACATCAATAAGAGGCGGCGAAAGGAACGAGAATCGTAATGGGATTAACGCGTTTTCAAGTTCTCTCTACGAGTTCTAAAATCGAATATCAGCGATGCCGATCAAGCTCGTTAATCTTGTTAAATCGTACTAATAATAATCACTCGAACGCAAAAATAATAAAATAAAATAAAGGTATAGAAAAACATACAGAGAAATTATATAATTTTCTCTATATTTTTTCATATATATGTATATACTCATAAAAAAAATAAAAGTACAAGTATAAAAGTACTAAAAGACGCATAGGTCAAGCAATAAGCTATTAAAATTACAGATAACTTTTTACTGCCAGAATAACAACGTTAAATCAACTGACTATATGTGGCTCGCCTATACTCCAATCGAAAGCAAACACGTCCGCGAAATTAATTGGCTTATTAATCTCTTTAAGTCGCGAGATTGGAGATTGATCGCCGGCTACTTTAGCGTAATGGCACAAAATACACGTGCGCGACTCCGCGCCGCGCGCCGACAACGTGCCGGTATCTGGGAAGTGCAGTTTGCGACTATTATTATCTTATACCACGCAGTCACGGACATAACACAGAATTTGATTAGAGGCTCTCTCTCTCTCTCTCTCCTTCTCTCTTTCCCCCCCCTTCCCCCCTCTCTCTCCCCCAGTGAGCACGATATCAATAAAGCGGTGCCCACCAACGCATAGTGTCGTGGCGTCTTACATTATTGAGATGCGTCAGGTGTTCCTCCGATTGCGCGAAGTCTTTCTCGAAGGCCGCAAAAAGACGTCACGCGACATGACACTCGTACAAAGTTCTGCTGTAGACCCGGAAGAAGTGTCTAAAAGTTACGTCCTGTGCCAGAACACTGCGTAACTCGGTGCGACAAATGCTTCCAGAAAATCAATTCACGCGGGGCAATTCGATACAGATGCAAAAGCATCACGTTATAAATAAAGATAAAGATATACTAATATAAATTAAGAAACTTTCTGGAAAACATATGATTGTATATACAGGTATACAATTTTCATCTCGACATATTGTATAACAAATGTATTTGAATAATATGGAATTAATAATTAATAATCAGATCAGTAATTTAATTAATTAACTTAATTTGATTACTGCGTATCAACGGCATAAACGATATTTTGGACTTATTCGTTATGTTAGAGAGATCGAATGAATATGGTCCCGGATTTGTATAATCTTCAAGATAATCTTTGGCGTGCGAGATCGTCGAGATAATGAGACAAAGAAAGACACTTAATTTCGACATCACGCGAGTTGTTGGAAATACGCAAATACGTAGCTGTGCTGTTGTTATGCATTTCCTCGACGAATGCGTTTGCATATTTATCGTTTTCAACGCCATCGAACTGTCGGCCAATTTCTCGGCGATACAAGCTTTAACGCCTTGTCTGTTGTACGAGAAAACCATACGTTAAACGCGTTTTCTAATAGAGACGAATGCAACATCAATTTATTCGCAGCACAAATTGAAGAATCATGTGAGAGAATATTAAAATAACGC